CACAGGCCCGACAAGGACGAGGAAGATTTAACACAATTCCGAAGCCTGGAGGCCCCGTAGTTGGGGGAGCCCGGGAAAGGAACACGTAGGTTTAAAAGGTTTCGGGGTTCTCTGTTTGACACATTGCAACTGAGGGAAAGGCGGGCCATCCCAAGGGACACCTTCCCTATGGACAGACACAGGGACTGGAACTTAGGGAGGGGTCAGTGTCGGAAATACAGACTCGAAGCGAGCCACAAAAGAATTGGAATAAAACTTCACGGGGTCGTGGAGAGAGAGAGACAGAGAGACAGAGAGACAGAGAGATGAGATAGAGAAGGAGGAGGAGGAGGAGGAGGAGGGGGAGGAAGGGGAGGGAGGAAGGGAGGGAGGCAAATGGCAGAACACCAGGTTGGGGCAGCATCTTGGGAGCTGTTTGGTTTTCCCTCCTGACGCTGAATACTTGGTGTCTTTTCCAAACCTACTTATTCAACTCTTATTCAATATAAGCGGGGTCTGGGGACTTGGCCTTGGCTTCCTGGCCCCCAAGCCTTGCTCCCTGCCCTTCCCCATGTCCACTCTCCAAACCCCCCAGAATACTGGAGCTACCCGATACATTTCTGTTCTTTCCGTTCTTTTTCTCCTTAAATTAGCTGCAGTGATTTCTCTTGCTTGCAGCCCAGACGCATGACAAGGACAAAAAAGGCCATCAATGTCATGGAGTCCTGCGGGTTGTTCAAGAAGGCCCTGCATTTCATGGTTTGGTCATTTGTGATTTTAGACAGATAGCTGGTGACGGGAAGAAAATGTCACCGGGAATGGACAAGAGCGAGTTCAAGGATAATGCTGATCTAACCAGGGCCTGAGACGGGAAGGGACTGCTGCAGGACCCACTGGCTCCCGGCCGGTTAAGAATCCGAGGCCGTCTCTCGCCCGGGGCTGCGTCTTACATGAGAAACGAGGCAGGAGAGGTTTTGATTCTTTGCTTTTCCCTCCTCCGCTCTTGGCACCGTGACTAGGAAGAGACTGGCACAGACCACCCAGCCGGGGCACCAGGAGGGTCTGATGGTCCAGAACTCGCCGCCACCGAGTCCTTTTCCCCACTTCCCGCTCCTTCATGCGGGTGAAACAGGCTCATGAACTTGGAGCACGGAGTTCATCCCCACAGGGATGTGGGCCTCTCCCGAGCTGCACATCCCAACGAGTAAAAATGTCATATTCTTTCGCACCTCTGAGCAAACACCGCCAACTTTCCCTTCTGACGGCACGATCCCCCGTTCTCCTGTCGGGCAAAGTCACGGTCCTCCCTGAGGGCTCCGGTCGGATATCGCTTATCCGGGTGCAGGGTGACCCGAGTCCTCCACAGCACAGCTCGGGTCACATGACCCCTGTGTCCATCCTCCTTACCCGGGCTCTCTAACCGGTCAGCTCTGCACCACAGTTCCCTATATCTATGTATAAATGATGTGTGTGTCGCCGTACCGATTATGTGCATCTAGGGCACACGAAAATACAACAATTGAAGTATGTGATAAAAAAAAATAGACAAGTCCTAATATTTGTTCTTGTCCCCATTCCCCCCGCCCCCAGCCCAGCGGGCACTGCCTTTGCACATAAAGCCATCGTGTTCACAGCATCCATCACGTTCTGTTATCATTCTGCTTCTATACCCGGTCTAATTTGCCTTTGCATCCATCCGCATAGTGCCTGATACAAAATAGGTACCTGTAAGTATCTGTTGAATTAACCTCTATCACATCAGAAATCGCTTTTCATAAACAGTTTCAAGTTCCCATGAATTCTCCGTCGTGACAGATGGCAGCAATCGGCGTATCACTGACAGACTTCTCCGAACAAGGCAAGTGAATTGCTTGTTCATTTAAGCTGTCCTGACACTTGTCTCGATTAGGTTTTCTCCTCTGCCAGCCCTGGATTTATGCCTTTGGGCACAAAGGAATGACAAGCCAATCCCAGGTCTGGGACCGGGTTTCAAAATGAAGTATTTGGGCATCGCCATCTCACTGAGTCATTAATTCGCAAATGTGAAAATCTCCCCGAGGAAGCCAAAAATCCAGTGATTCGGACAAGTCTCGGATGGAGACTAAAAAAAAAAGAAGAAGAACAATAGGAATATACTTTAAATAGCCACCATTCCCATTTCTGAAAATTCTCTTCCGTTTGGGCATTCCAGGCTCAGTGCTTCTTCTCGTGAGTATTATCCGAATGTGAAATGTGTTTTTAAAAAAAAATAGAATCTTTAAAAATTACTGAGATGTCATGGTCCCCTGCTCACTCCAGGGGTTGAAGTCATGCTGCTGATGGAGTGATTAAGTGTGGGAGTTCTATGCGGAGCCCCCACCTGAAGGGGACACCAAGTGGACACTAGGATGTGGGGGAGCCGTCAGAATGCTGCTTCCGCTTGGGGAACCGTACAGGGAATTGATGGCAGGTGCATGCCGGTCACGGAGTGCTTGAGGATTTGAG